GCTGTGGGGGTGCAGCCAGCTTTGCTCTAAGAACAGCTATCCAAGGGGCGGGAGGGAGCAGGGGTCAGCCACAGCTCTCTCTTTACCTCGTCCCCTAAAAAGTCACAGCTCCTTGACGTGTGAGCTGAAGCTTGGGACATTTATCTTGTGTCTGTTTTTTCCAAAGCCAAGTCCAGAGACAGACCAGGGCCTTCCCAAGATCACACAGCAGGCCAAGGGCAGAGCTGGCAGTGAAGCCGATTTTCCACCTTCTGTGGTGTGGTATGCGCTGAGCTGCAGCCATGGCTTCCGGGGCCACAAATGGCTGCCCCAGCTCAGAATGTTCCCCTCCTCTACCCTCCCTGCTGCCCTGCTTACCGGGGGAATTCCTCTCAGTGACACCAAAGAAACCCTTTGAGGAAGTGACAGTGAGCACTTCTTGAAAAGGGAACCAAGTTTAGAGATCTAGTGACACTAGCAGCCGCGGTGACTGGAGGCCTCCTGGGGCTGAGGAACTTTGGGGAGTCACTCAGGGTGACAGCAGGCAGCCCAGCAAACCCACAGGAGTGGGACAGGCCAGGCTGGGCCCCCACCGTTCCCAGAGTGCTCCTGACCTGCTCTCACCTGCACCCTGTTAAGGGAAGCTCCGAATTCAGGGAGATTCGCGGTCCCCTGGCAGGTGCTGTTGGGACGGGCACCACCAGTCCCGGTGCCTTGCCCCTCTTGGGGCACCTGCTAGGGGACCTTGAATTCTGACTTTCCCTTCACATCTGAGGCCCCACTGACTACAAACTGAAAATGAAATCTGCCAAAACAGCGCTTGGGGAGCCGCTCCTCCTGAATACAGCTCGTCCCAGCCCCTTCCAGGCAGGAGGTCCATCCACGCCTGGGGGAGACTCTCCCCATGATCTCCTGATGCCACCTTCTTTGCCCCTCCAGTGTCTGGTTGAAGCTCTGGGAATGGAGGTTCGAAGTTCTAAGCAGGATTTCCTCCCAAGTCCTCAGTCCCTCAGCGGGAAACAATGAAGTGTCCACAGCCTGCGAGCCTCCTCCTGCAGCCAGAGCTGGGAGGGGCACTGAGTCTGAGCCCCAGATTTCTTCCAAGGCTGAGACACTCGGGCCCCTCCTCGGCTCTCCCAGTGCAGCCCTGGCTCAGCTCTGCCTTCCCAATGCCCAGAACAGAGGCTGCTGTGGCCCTGGCTTTGAGGCCCAGGACAGATCCATCTTCCCAGCCAGTGACTCGCTCTGACAACAGGGCCGAACTGCCATGGCACTTGCCTCTCACCTCCGCTGGCCAGGCATTTGTTAGGCAGCCTGCGAGGAATGAAGAATGGGCGCGTGGCGAGGCACGGATTACCCGCCCCAGAGGCCCCTGCTGAATTGCAGTTCAGAGCTCAGCTGCCTGGGGCCTCAAATCAACAGGGAGGCGACTCATCTTCCCTGCAGCAGCCCTGCCGTGCGGAGCAGAGCAAAGCTGGAGTGGGTGAGCCTGGGAGGAGATTCTGCACCACCCCTGCCCTGGGCCTGTCTTCAGCACAAACCCCCCGCGTGCCCTCCACTCCCACCCCTCTCTACTCAGGGAGCCCGCTTCCTTCACTAGAAGCAGCGCCAGTGGAGACGCTCAGTTCTTGGGGGCACCCTTTCCTTCCTCCGGTACCAGAGAGAGTTCAGAGCTGCTGGGGCGGGTTGGAGATTTCTCCCGATGTCCCGAAGCATTTGGAAAAACTGGAGGCCCGTGCCAGGGGCACCCTCACCCTGGGTGGGAGATGAGCCTGTGGGAGCTGGAGATCAGCCTGTGCAAGGCTCTAGTTCCTTTGATGGGGGAGTCCAGGCCACCCAGCCAGGGAGTGCCTGCCAGAACCTGGCAGAAGCCCTCTTGCTCCCATGCCCACAGGGCTCTTTTTCTGGAGCTGTGCAGAAGCTGGAAGGGTTTGGGCACTGGACCTGTTAGCAAGGGGTAGGGGCGGGACTGGCTGCTGGCTCACAGGCTAATTCTCCTGGCCCTCCCTGGGCTTCCTGCCCAGCTCTTCCTGTTCATGGGTGCTGTGAGGAAGGTCAGGACTCAGCATACTCATTAGAGACCCTGCAACCCTGCTGACCAAGGCCAGCAGCTCTGGGCCTGGGGGCTCTGGAAGTGCTCTCCCAGGGGCTGAGTGAGGCTGCTGGCGGGACAGAGCTATCTGCCCTCTCCCCAGACAGTGACACAGTCCAGTTTCCTTTGGGCCCTCATCTGTTCCTCCTGCCTGCATTACCCTCACCCTCACCTGGCCATGCCCACCTACTAGGCTGTGACTTTCACCTTCTGCTCCACGTGGAGTTCACCTGGGGAGGTGGAACAGCCACCCATCCCCCACCAGTTGCAGAAGACACTCTGCAGCTAGGGTTGGGAACAGATACTCAGGCAAAGCCTCTTTCCCCTCCCACCCCACAAACGTCCCTGCTTGACATCTCTGCCCCTCCCCATGTCCTATTATCATTGATTTATTCTGACTGCGGGATTAGAGAGGTGTCCTTGTTCCCCGGGTTTTGGGGAAGATGTGTAGATCACACGTGGTCTCTGCTTCTGGGAAAGGATGAGCACTTAAGACCCCACAGCCAAGAATTACCCCGGAGTGGGGCAAGTGCTGTACCTGGTGGCAGGGTAGGGGGCAGGGGGCTGTGAAAAAGCAGAATGAGAAGAGCTGAAGGTTTTCCTAGGAAATCAGGGCCCAGGGCTGACCATTCGGGAGCCAGGAGCCCCTCCTCCCCTGCAAAGGCCCTCAGAAAGGCTGAGTCGAAAACATGCAATTGGAGGGGATTCGGCGTAAGCCACATGCTCTCTCTCGTGGTCAAAAAGGGAATTGCACTCCCAGACAGAGGCTGTCATAGTAGGCGTTGTGTGATTAATTCACCCAATCACTTCCCAGGCTTGGTAGTTTCTGTGACTCAGTGCAGGTCTGAATTGTGGAAAATTCCAAAGTGAAGTGAGAGTTCAGGAACTGGCAGTCCAGGTGACCTTTCTGGAGAGGGAAGGGAAATGTTCACAAGAGCCCTGGCTAGGAAGCAGGTCCCAGGCCTCCAAATGCCACCTTGGGCCATGGGGCTTGTTAAGCCTCAGCCTGCATGGGCCACCCCTCAAGCCTCACATTCAACTGGGCTGGGGGAATCTGGGTACGTGGTGGTTTGAAAAGCCTCCCAGGTTCAGACCTGATAAAGCCTTACATTTCACAAGGAGGGAGGCCTTTGAAGAAGGTTCAGTGAGGGGAAGTGACTCATCCAGAGCAGTTGGAATTTCCCTCTGAGGGTGGCAGGCTGGATGGTCCTCTGTATGGAACATTCTAGAACATTCTAGAAACGTGACCTTTCTCCAGTGCTCTTGCTTCTCCTGGGGTGAGCCACTGGTCTGGAATACCCTCTCTTCCTGTTTGCCTTGCTGCCACATCCAAGAGGCTTTGGGAGCCCCACTCCTCCTGAAAGCCCCCGTGGCTGGACCTGCCCCATTTATGTTCATTTCTCCCACCCTCGAGGGGGAGCTCAAGTGTGTGCCCCTATCTCCTGTGTGGAAAAACTGAATTCCGTTTAAGGGTTTGGCCAACACATTTTCCCTGTCACCAGTGAGTCCCCATTTGGAGCGGAGTATCACAAGGACTTGGTGCTGGGTTGTAAGTCACCAGACCTTCCCCTGTGTGGCTCCTGTCCTCCTCCCACTTCTGGGCCTTCCCTCTCTCCCCTTAGCTCTCCAAACCCACAGGTGGTCAGCGGGGAGTCCACCCCTGCCCCACACTCCCCATCCTTTGGATGTCCATGTGGTGGGAAGAGCCCTGGAAGGGGAGCTGGAGCCCTGAATTTGGTCTGGCTCTGACGCAATCTGGCCATGTCACTCCAGACAAGCCACGGCCTTTCTTAGAGCCTCAGTTTCCCCTTCTGTGGATTGAAGATGATCTGTTTCGCTCTCTAAGGACCCTTCCCTGCCCAAGCTTTCTGTGTAGGCAGGTTGGTGGTTTTCAGGGAGTGAGGGCAGTGGATTAAGACAAAGAGCTTAATTCCCAAGTGAAGCGGGGTCCATGCTGTCTCTGGCCCCCAAACACGCCCTGTTCATTTCCTGCTCCGGTAGCTTGGTTCTCATGCCGGTTTTCCCCTCCTCTCCCTCAACAGCTTGCAGGCCAGTTGAGAAAGCCTGACACTAGGTGGTGCCAGAATCCCACCATCCCTCCAGCCTTAGCGGCCTCTGAGTGAAGAGAGGGAAAGGAAAGGCGGGCTTCTTCCTGAATTCAGAAACTCCCGGAGGCCGTCCCTGCACGGCCTTGACCTTGGACTCACAGCAAAGATCACATTAGGAGTCCGGCACTGGTAGGAGGAGCGACCTGGCAGCATCTCAGGCTGAGGGTCCCTGCCTGCATGGACGCCGGCTGGAGCAAGCTTAACAACGGTCTCACTCTCACTGTCTGTTCCCTGGCCCCCGGCCCTGGGATTAACCAAGTCTCTAAATAGGTGGCTCCAAGAGTGGAAAGATGTGGCCTGAGCTTAGTACCAGGAGGGGGCTGGGAAGAGGGCTGGCTCCTTCAGGACACGTGCAGAGGCCCAGCACCAGGCCCCCAGACCCACCCACCCTGGCCCAGGGTGTCCATGTGGAAAATGGCAGAGCACACGAATGTGGCCACGTACAGGCCTGTCTGGGTAGCCTGGGACCTCTCCGAAGCAACTTCCAGGCAGGGTCACCGGGATCCCAACAGCAGCGCCTAGTGCCTGGGGCAGAGGCCTCATGGATATCCAATAGGCCCATGGCTTTGACCCTGGGAGCCTTTCACACTTCCCAGACATATAAAAGACAGGCTCAGTCCTCTGTCCACAGGGCTCCTGCCAGTTCAGGGGGTGTGAGGAGTGGCTTGCAGATGACAACACTGAACTTCTTGCTTTTACAGGCAGACAGGTGCCTGAACAATTAATAGAAAAACAAGTGAGACCCAGCTGTATTTGTACTTGAACGTGGAGAGGTGGGTGGTTAAAAGAGGAGGGAGACAGGCAGGCAGGCGAGGGAAGCAGTGATCTCTGACGCTGGCTTTATTATGAGCATGAGCTGGCACGGGACAGGAGGTGGTGATGCCCACCTGGGGGTCACATTGAGCCTGGAGCTTCCTTCAGCCCAAGCGCTGGCAGTGATGGTGACAAAGGTCTACAGCCCAGGGAAGATGGGAAGACGCCAAAGGCAGGGGCATGCCCGGCTTTCCAGCTGACCCCAGGGCAGCGGATGGCATAGCCGGGACTGAGAAGACAAAGGCGGAATGGGGCTGGGTGGGTGGCACCAGGGGTCGGGGTTTTACGTCCTCCTTGTCCATCTCACTTTTCTCCAGGGCTCCTCTGTGATCTCCTGTAGCACACACTCCATGCCAGGCCCTTGGCAATCATTTTAAACACACCATGGGTGACAGACCACTTGGCTGATGTGTGGACGACCCTAAAATTCTTCCCTACCCACTCCAGGAGCCAGAACCCCTCCCCATTGCTCCCAAGCCTGCCCTGCCCGCCCCTTCCCCCAGGCTCTCCTAGGGTACCTGATGTCACAGCTCATCATCAGTGATTTGCCTTGGGTGGGGAAGGAAAAGCCACAGGTGAGAGGGCGGGGGGAGGGGGGAAGGTCTAGGGATCCCTGAGGCTGGGGACCCTTCCACAGCCTCAGAGACAAAATCCTCAGCCCGCCCCTCCTTTCCCGGGCCCAACCCCCTCATCGGCCACCCCAGGCAGCGCTCACCTACGCTTCTTGTTGCCCCCACAGCGGAATCTTTTGCCTTGAAAAGAAAAAGGGAGATTTGTTTCCATGAACTCATTTCCCAAAGAGACCTTGGAAGACTCTAACTCCTTCCAGTCTCTCCTACCTCCCTCCTGCCAGCACCACCACAGGGCCAGCCACATTTGACTGTCACATTTTATTTTATTTTATTTTATTTTTTGAGACAGGGTCATACTCTGTCACCCAGGCTGGAGTGCAGTGGTGCGATCATAGCTCACGGCAGCCTCAAGCTCCTGGGCTCAAGCAATCCTCCTGCCTCAGCCTCCCAAGTAACTGGGACTACAGGCACACACCGTTATGCCCAGCTGATTTTAAAAAATGTTTTTGGCTCCTGCCTGTAATCCCAGCACTTTGGGAGGCCAAGGCGGGTGGATCGCCTGAGGTCAGTAGTTCGAAACCAGCCTGGACAACATGATGAAACCCCATCTCTACTAGAAAAAATACAAAAATTAGCTGGGCATGGTGGCAGGTAATCCCAGCTACTCCAGTGACTGAGACAGGAGAATCACCTGAACCCCAGAGGCGGAGGTTGCGGTGAGCCGAGATAGTGCCATTGCACTCCAGCCTGGGTGACAGAGAGAGACTCTGTCTCAAAAAAAACCCAAAAAATTTTGTATAGATAGGATCTCACCATATTGACCAGGCTGGTCTTAAACTACTGGTGTCAAGAGATCCTCCTGCCTTGGCCTCCTAATATGCCTGCATTACAGGCAGGAGCCACCATGCCCAGCCATCTCTCTCTTTATATAAGGCTGGACCACAGGCTTTCAAGAGCCTCAGTCAGTCAGTCAGCAAACATTTATTGGGGCAGATCCATGGTGGGCTATTGGCATATCAAGAGCAGCAGCAGAGACTGGGCCATCATGGTGTGCCCGTCACAACACTGGGCACAGAGTAGCTGCCCGATGAACAGCTCTCCAGAGAAGGATGGCAGCAAGTCCAAAGCAGAGCCCCTTGCTCAGGCCACCTGCCTCCTGTGCCTGTGTGCTCAGCTGCCAACCGGCTCTGCCCTCCGGGAGTTGCCACGGGCAACATGGGAAAATGGGCAGACCTGCCGGACTGCGCCCCAGCCTTGGAATTTCAGAGTCCACAGCTGTGCTTGCTGTAGCTGTTTATCATGGGTTGTGTTTGTGTTTTCTGTGTATTTTTCTTTGGGTTAAACCAAAACAAGTCAATGTGCAGATATTAAACTCTTGCTGTGTGCCCCTCAGGAGCCTGGAGATATATAAACTCCTTGTCTCTCCCAGAGCACTCCAAGTCTGCACTAAACTATTCTTTTTTTTTTTTTTTTTTTTTTTTTTTTTTTTTTTTGAGACAGTCTTGCGCTGTTGCCCAGGCTGGAGTGTGGAGGTACGATCTCGGCTCACTGCAAGCTCCACCTCCCTGGTTCAAGCAATTCCCCTGACTCAGCCTCCTGAGTAGCTGGGATTACAGGGGTGCACTATGCCTGACTAATTTTTTTTTTTTTTTTTTTTTTTTTGTATTTTTAGTAGAGACAGGATTTCACCATGTTGGCCAAGCTGGTCTTGAACTCCTGGCCTCAGGCAATCTGCCCACCTCCTCCTCCCAAAGTGCTGGGATTACAGGCATGAGTCACCGCACTCGGCCTGCACTGGACCATCTTAAAGTACTGTTCTGACTGCCGTGTCTCTGGAGGCTAGCTCTAATCTTGTGGGGCAGGTGGGATCATCCCTATTGAACGGGTGAGTTTGGGACCCATGGTTAGCAGTGGCCGGTGCAGTCCCCGAGCCTGGCCCTCGGGTTACCCTGCAGCTTCGCTCCCGCATCCGCAGCTCCTCCTGGGCCCACTGGAAGGTGCACTTGAGCAAACAGGAACCTCACATTGTGCTTGAGAGCCTGGCATCCCACCCAGCATGGGTTCCCCCATCCTGCAGGGGCGGAAGTGGTGGGGAGGCTCACCCCTCCCTTGGGGACTCTGGAAAGCCAGCCTGCTCAGCAGCCTTAAGAAGAGATGTGCCCTGGCCAGCACCCCTTCCCTGGAGGCCACCCCACTTACTGAGGATGATGAGGAGCCCCACGATGAAGGCCAGCCCAGCGAAGATCAGGCCCCCTTTGCGGACAGTCTCATAGTCTCAGGAAAGAGAGGGCAAGAGGGGCGGCATGAGTGCTCTTTCCCAGCAGTGGTTTCTCCCTGCAGCCCGCCCCCGGTAGCCCATGGCAACCATGGAAGTAAGGGGCACAGAGTGTGGACCCGGGGCTGGGAGAGGCCGCTGCTTGGTGGGAGGGGTCCTGAGTGCTTGGGAAGGGTGCACGCGGGCCCAGGCTTACCGTAGTAGAACGGGTCCACGTCCGCATTGGGGCTGCTGCCTAGGAGAGAGCCAGAGGCGGGAGGAGAGGAGTCACCAACAGTGGGCCTGCACTGGAGCGGCTGGAATTCCCTGTCCTTCCCTTCCCAGAGGATCCCTGAGGGTCCAAGCGGTGAGGGGAGGCTGGGCTGGGGGTGTTGCTTAAACCTTTGCCTGCAGGCTTCTGCCCTAGGCGGCTTCAGACACAGTCAACTGGGGACCAAACGCCCAGTGTCCGAGGGGGATCTGTGCTGTCTGGGGGGCCTCTGACACTTGAGAGGGCTGGCTCTCTCCTGCTCCTTGCTTTCTACCATGGTAGAAAAGTCCAGGAGAGGCCTCTCCTGTTAGACTCCCAGCGGCCTCTCTCCACAGAACCAACTGGCTATGAGGTGCTTAGGAGGTATTTGTGAAATGCATGAATAAATAAAACAAAACCTTAAACTTATCAGACAGAAGGTGGAAGCCAAGCCCACCGTGGAGATTTATCCAAAGTCCCACTGAAAGCTGAGACAGACCTGCTCTCCTACGTTACCATCCTCAGGGGACGCAGGTCTAGTTAAGAAACATTAATATATGGTGCTGGTCAGGCATGGGCAAAAGCTAGCAAAACCCTAACTCCTCTAACCATGACAGCAACCTTATGAGGCATCAATGCCATTTCAGTGGAATCCATGTGAGAATGGAAGCACAGAGAAGTTAAGTAATTCCCCCACAGTTGCACAGCAAGTCAGGAGTAGAGCTGGGGTTTGAACCCGGGCAGCAGGGGGCTGAGAATGCTGGTGTGTAAACTCTTAGCTCTGCAGCCTCTCAATGGCAGGAAGGAAGGAGCCCATTTGAGGCAAGGTTCTGCCCCTGCCTCCCGTGGTCTCCCCCAGATTTGGAGCTGCTCAGCAGGTGGGTCTCACAGTGGTGCCCTGCAGCTGAAGACACTTGACCCAGACAGCTAGCCTATGGCCTGGCCGGGACACTTCCACCACCACTGAGGGCTGCCCCTCTTTCCTTCTCTGCTGGAGCCCCTTCTTGCACCAGGGAAGTAGAGCCCGAGGAGGAAGGAATGAGCAAGTCAGCCTCTCCCAGGCTGTGCCGAACTGTGCCCTGGGCCGTGGTGAGCTTCGGGGCCTGGCAAGCCCCGCCATCCCCAGTGACCAGTCCCTCCGCCAGGAGAGAACAGGCGGGAGGAGTCGGGGCCCATCCTGGCAGGCCTGAGGTGCTGGGTGCTCAGGGAGGCCATGAGGGCACAGGTCCGGTACAGAAGGCCTTCAGGGCCATCTTCCCAGATTTGGTTCCGGCCTTGTTCAAGGTCATACAGGATTTAAATGTCAGAGCAACAGCTAGATGCAAGCCAGGGCTTCCCCTCACACCCCAGGAAACCCCCTCCTCCATGGCCACCTTGCCCTGGGCCGCTTGCTGAGACCCTCCCTGCCCAGCACCCTTCCCTTTCAGCATCCGGCTCAAAACCCACCTCTGTCAGCAGGCGCCCCTCTTGGGTCCAGGCCTGAGTCAGTTCCTGTCACAGGAAGCCTTTGGGGAGTGTGACTTGAACTTGGGGGCCGCGCATACCAAATCCAGCCTAGGGAGGCTGCCCAAAGGGGCCTGCTCCCTTCCCGGCCAGATGGACCGCGTCTGCCTCCTGCCTGAGTTCAGAGGGTCTAGCAAGATGCATTGAACTCAGCCGGGGGGTGTGTCAGGAGGCCGAGGAGGGACGCTCAGCTCTCCAGCAAATCTGCTCAAGCTATCTTTCTAACGTGTTCAAGCAGCGTCCTCTTTTAAGTTGCAAATTTTCTTAGAGAGGAGCCTGATCGGAAGAGGGGCTGAGTACTCTGGAAGGCTAAGGTGGCAGGAGAGGGAAGAGGGGGGTCCAGCTGTCCCCACCAAGGCAGGCCAAGCAGAGCCACCCAGCCTCGCACACGCCGGGGCACACAGCAGCACACTCACCATCGCCCGTAGACAGCCCGGTCATTTCCCCAGAAGAATGGACTGCCTCCCCTCCCCTCTTCCTGCTGTCTCTGCTTTTCCGACAGTGTCTGGTAGCCTCCGCGGGGTGGCCCGAGACGAGGTGGGGGCATTAAACATTAACAGTGCCAGGTAATATTTACCCTGGTTACAAGAAAATCTCAGTGTGGATGGAGGGGGCTCCTGCCACAGGGTGAGGAGGCGCGTGGGGAGGCAGGGGAGGGAAGGAGCTGGCTTCCAAAGGAAATTTCCGAAGAGAAGGGCTGGGATGGGGGAGCCGTGGTGCTCTTCCGCCAGCTGGAGAAGCCACAGCTGGGGTGGTGGGAAGAGGGAAGTGGGAGTTGCACAATTTGTACAGTGTATACCGTACTTGGGAGCTTCCAGGGGCCAGCGTCATGGGTCCCACAGTGGTCCCCAGCCCCAGCAGGGCCTACTGCACCGGCCACCGTGGATGCCACCACTGCAGCTGGTGTTGCTTATGTGGCACTGGAGGCTTTTCTGCAGTGGTCCCTAGGAACCTGGCCCACTGCTCCCCCACCATAGCCCCAGAGCACCCCCAAACCCACCAGCAGTTGATCCCCCAGAAAAGCCCTTCATCTGTCATCCTCTTCACCCATCAGTGTGCACCCCACAGCTTACACCTCAGTTGGAAGGGCCTCAGTCACCCCCAACGAATCTCTCCCTCTCTGCCGCCCCCGCCCCCCGGGCACTTCCTCCTACCACCATTTGGCCTGGCTCTCGGGCTGTTTCCTTGCCAGTTTACCATGGCACATGCAGGCTTTTTAAGGACGGGGCAAGGCTTTCATCACAGGCAGAACCCCCTGCTTTTATGGTTTACCAAGCACTTTCCCCACTCTTATCTCTTAAGTTTGACATCTCCCATTTTACTGATGAGGCAGGTGTGTAAGCCCAGAGAGGTGGGGGCCTTGCCCAAGGTCACAGTGATGAGACAGGTGTGTAAGGCACAGAGAGGTAGAGGCCTTGCCCAAGGTCACACAGCCAGTATGGGGCAAGTGGAGGCTGACAGGCCTCCTGCTGCAGGAGGCAGGTGCTTTCCACACCTTGCAGGCAGCCTTCCCACTCACCTGTGAGCACCCTCTCTCCAGGATTCCTGAGCCGGGTAGTTGTGCGTGTTGCGGAATTCTGGTTGAGTTCTAGTCCACTGAATTGGCCTCCAAAAGAGGCTGAAGTCCAATGGCCGCCAAACAGCCAAGGTCAGTGGCCAGGGGCCACCAGGGGTGCTTGAGCCCTTCTGAAGGGAGTCACTCTATTTGTGAATCCTCCCCAAGCACGGAGAGGGCTCGGCACTTGGGTTCACACCCTGAACCTCTCACTTGCTAATTGTATGGTCTCAGTCAATTACTTCACCTCTCTGTGCCTCAGTCTCTTTATCTGTAAAATGGGCACAGTACCCAGCTCCTGGGGTGGTTGTGAGGGGAAGTGAGATCAGGCATGCCAAGAGCGTAGCCCCGGCCCTGGCACACAGTGAGTGGCATCATTGTTACTGTTATATGTGTGCTGGCTGAAGAAATAACAGGCATTAGCCTTTGTTAAATGTTTGCTGTTGGACACGGAAAAGCCAGTTGCTGTCCAATGAAAATGAGCACGAATGAGTGAGATGGAGGGAATGTCAGAACCCTGCAGATGAGGCGCTTCAACACCCTTTCAGCTCCCTCTGCTTTCAGAGCCAAGAAATGCATATGTGTGCAAACATCACGGCAGAGCCAGCATTTGGTGAAGACGGACCACATGGCAGGCTCTTCGCAAGTACTGCACTACTTAATTCCTGATAGTGCCTTTTTACAGATAAAGAAACTGAGGCTGCTCATTTGCTCCACAATAGCCTCTAGAGGTGGCCAGGGCAGTGCTGTGATCCCCCCTGGGGACACCAGAAAAACCGAGGGCAGGAAGGTGAAGGGACTTGCCTGAAACACACAGTCAATGGCAAACCAGAGGTGGAAAGCCCAGACCCTCCAAGATGTGCTACCAAAGCTACTGCCGACTCCACAGCAGACAAGGGTGCTCCCTTTATTATACGGGATCGCGTTCTCTTACTGTGTTGTCAATATTTGTAAGCCAACGTGGAGTGTTTCAGGAATAATAGGAGATGTAAAAATAGGTAGGAAGTTAAATAAATTCATTTCTCTCTCTCTCTCTCTCTCTCTCTCTCTCTCTCTCTCTCTCTCTCCATCTATCTATGTATCTGTTGACAACCCAGTCATTTCCATAGCCGAATGGATTGCCTCCCCTCCCCTCTTCCTGCTGTCTCTGCTTCTGGGAGTGTCTGGCCTCCTCAGTGGGGTGGCCGGGGACAAGTTGGGGGCATTAAACATTAACGGTGCCAGGTAATATTTACCCTGATCACAAGAAAAGCTGCAGTGTGGATGGAGGTCTCCCGCTGCAGGGTGAAGAGGCACCTATAGATCAGTAGATTAGATAGATAGATGATAGATAGATAGATGATAGATAAATAGATGATAGATAGATAGATGATAGATAAATAGATGATAGATAGATGATAGATATGGATGATAGCTTGATCAATAGATAGATGAATAGGAAGCAATAGGAAAAGCTAATTGATGGCTGCATTTTAAAACTCTGTGTACAAGGCACTGTTTCAAGCAGTTTACAGAAATCAATTTAGTCATCACAATGACTCTATAAGGTAAGGAAGGCATTATTGTCACCCCATTTCATAGAGGAAGAAACTGAGGCCCAGATAAGTTAAATAACTTGCCAGAGGTCAGACAGCTAGAAAGTAGGGGAACCAAGATTTGCAGCCAGAAGTCCGGCTTCTGAGCTCCTGCATCTCTGAAGGACGGATGGACAGACAAGCGAATGAGGTGGTTGGACAAGCTGCCCTCCCAGCCCTCACAGCTCCAGAGATGCTCGGCACACATGTCACAGCAGGCCCACCACTCTGTGTGGAGATGCTGTTTGTTGGAAATTTCTGCCTGTCCTCCTTTCTGCTTTTCCTGCACTTCTGGGGAGCTTGAAAGAGACGGGGTGCACACCTGTGTCAGAGCCTGAGCAGGGAGGAGGAATGGGGCTCAGAGGACTCACCTGGGTACCACCTGTCCATGGCAGGAGCTGCTGGCTGTGTCCAGGGTGCAGGAGAGCAGGCAGGTGCCACTTGCCCGGGACCTGGATGGAAAGAGTGGCACTCCCTCCCCTCACACCTCAGGGGAGCCCACAAACAGGAAGAGACAAGGGCAGGGAGGAGGGCTGGCAAGGGAGCCCTTACCTCGTGCCCGCCTGCTGGTGGGGGTTGGGGCGAGGGATCCACGTGAAAGCCAGGAGAGATTCTCTGACCTCCACCTGGCACCTGAGGAAGGGGAAGCTGTCAGATGCAGCAGAGCAAACTGCCGCCCCTGCCCCGGCCCTCTCCCTTGAGGGGCTCCATGCTGTAGCCAGCTCAGGGTGCCCGAAAAGGGTACAGGAGCCAGGAGAAATCAAGGACCCCACTCTTCCCCAGGCCCCTGGGCTGGTGGAGGCTGAGGGAGACCTTCAGGGGTATATGTGAGTCCCCTGAGCGTCACTCAGCTGTCCCTCTATCCTCCAGCCCAGCTGCGCCTTCGCTTGGAGTCATCCGGCACCAGGCCCCGCTCCGTAGCTAGGTGTCCCCTGAGACCGGGCGGCACAGCTGCAGCCTCTCGGGGGAGCAGGAATGGTTTCCAGGGTCCTGTCCTGGAGGTCCCAGCTTCCTGTGTTGTCCTGGTAGTTGGCAGAGAGATGGGGGGCAGCTGCGGGCTGGGAGCCAGAGCTGTGATGGGGCCTCTCTTGTGCCTGTCCTTTTCCTCAGCTGGGACCTCCTCACTCGGCCCGCAGGTGTCAGGCCCGCCTGCCACACCTCGGAGGGCTCAGCCGGAGACACCAGCAGCCTAATGAGGCCTCTGGGGGCTGCTGGTTGGTACCAGAGGGGAATGGCCAGAAGACAACCATGGAGCCAGGAGCCAGCAGGGAGCCACGGGAAGGCCCACACACCACACTGCCCAGTCAGCATCCCTGTTCCCCGGCCACCAAGGCTGGCCCACAGCAAAGCCACGGTGAGCAGTCTCCATGTGACAGTCTTGGAGCCACAGGGTCTCTCTCAGGTTCCTGTGGCCACCCTGGCATGGCCACTCTGACCCAGACACTGAGAAACACAGCTGGGAGGTGCTGGCTCTGGCCCCGGCCTCTGACCCTGAGCTCTGGTTACTCTGACTCCCACCTCTATGTTCTTTCTTTGCAATACTCCCTGTCCCGAGGGGAGGACTCTTGAGACCCCAGGGAGCCCCCTTATGGCTGAAACACTCTGGACATGGAGACCAGGAGGCCTGGAGAGGTGCTGTTTGTTATCAGGATGGGCTGAGATCTGCACCGGGGCCGCTGACCGCAGGCCTGACTCCAGGCTCCCTGCACCTTTCCTTCCGGACCACCCCAAAGGCAGGGCCAGACCTGCCCACGGGTGGGCAAGAGCTCAGCTGGCAGGCTTGTCCCATGCTCCCACGTGAAAACCTGCCACTCAGCCCAGAGCCACCAGGTGGAAATTCCCCAAGCTGGGGATAGAGACGTTTACAAAACTCGGGCCTAGGTGAGATGTAGCGGTATCTGATCTAAACATAATCTAAATGGTGCAGAAAAGTGGAAATCCCAGCTACCCCCAACCCGGTACACACACTCTGTTCCCTTCCCACCACCAGTGCTGCGAAGGAAGGCATCTCCATCCCAGACATCCAGAGCCCTGTGTGACCGATGGTCCGACCACAAAGGTCACCGAGGCCACCCTATCCAAACCCCTCCCTTTACAAATGGCTCCCTCTCCTGCTCAAAATCCTCAGAGAGAGGGTTCGGATGATATCCAAAATCTTTTCTGTGACCCAGAAAGAAGCCCCTCTTAATCTGGCTCCAGGCACTTCTGAACTGGTCCCCAACCTCCCCACCCTGCTCTCTGCTCCAGTCACCCTCGAAGACCTCCGCCCGGACTATTCCTGCTTCCTAAATGCTCTGCCTCTGCAGGGCTTCCAGCTCAGCTCACGCTGCCTGCAGGGCTTTCTTCAAAGCCCCGATTCTGGGCATCCCGGCAGAAAATGTTCACCCACCGCCTCAGCCCGGCTTTTCCTCTGTGGCACTTACTCTGATCTAAAGTGTGTGTTTCCTTGATCTTGTTTGTCCCTCTCCCCAAAAATGTGAGCACCAGGACAGCCAGGATTTCTGTTTGTTTGTTCATTCCCCAGTGCCCGAAACAGCTCATCGTGCCCCCCAGTGGAATCATTTCTCCCATGCTGCAGGCAGACCCAGGACCTGCCTCAGGCAGTCCCGTTCCCTGCTGTCATCTGCTCTGTGAGGGGTCACAAGACCCAGTTTGCCCTCACAGAGGCAGCAGGTAGCCAGCAACCCCACCTTGCTGAAAGCTCCCCGAGAGTCCCTCTCAAGAGAAGGGGGTTCTCTCTCACTCCTCTGGCATCCCATCCCTCCCCATCTCCTCTCTCCTCCCCTCCCCTCCCCTTCCTTCTCCAGCCTTGCAGCAATTTTCAGAAATTGTCCCATTTGGTCTTGGGGGAAGCGCAGGCATTTGTTAAGTCAAGGTGGTCCTCTCCTCTCGCTTCACTCAAGCCTAAGTCTTTCCTCAGACTTATTCCCTGTCCTCCCCCAGCCGGCTCAGGTCATGGGTCCTAGCTGGCACTGGAGGCAGGGAGCCCCTCTCTGAGACACCTGCTCCCCTGCAGGGAGGTCCCGGCCCTTCCCTCTGTGGCCCGTGATCCTGAGAGCAGCTCAGCTCAGGAGGGTCCCTCCTCCTAGAAGTCTCCATGCAGGGCACTCTGAGGACCAGACACACCCATGCATAAATCCCTTTTCATCCTGAGCCTTTGCTGAGGACTGCCTGAGCCTGGGGAAGGGCACCCCTCTGGGTCTCCCTGCATCTGTAAAATGGGGCAGTAACACCTACCTTGCAGGATTGTTGTGGGAACAGAGACGAGGTAAGTCAAGCATTTGGCCAGAGAAGGTCCTAAAAAATGATGGCTGCATTTTCCTTACTCTGAACTGCCCCCCACCCCCACCCCAGGAGACAAGAACACTCTCAGCAATCCCTTCCCTTGGCTCAGTCCCCAGCTGAGGTGATCTCCAAAGCAGGCTCCTGAGAGCACCCTCCGTGCCCCGGCATGATCCCTGCTGGCCACCACCCACCCTGCATCTCCAGCCTCCCTTTCTTCTCCACACAAACCCAAGAAACCTCCTTTGTCTGATGGTTCCAGGCTAGAGAGAAAGAAGCATCCAGCTGTGCTCTCCCGTTCTCTTCAAGGCCCAGAGCTCTGGGAGGCGCTGGGAGGGAGGGAGAAGCAGCAGCTTCTCCTGGATGCTTCAGCACCGTCACAGCTGATGCCCTCAGTGGCGAGGCCTCCATCTCCCCTGTCTCCCCCAAGCAGGCCTCCCTATTGTCTCCTGACTCCTAAGTCTCAGGGCAGTCATTTAGGGTGGTCAATGCTGGGTTGGTGGGACAGGGAGGAAATAGGCTGGAATCCCACTGGAATCACTTCTGTCTCCCTGATGATCAGAGACAGAGGCTCTCACCACCAGCTTCCCAAAACGGGGCTCTCCAGTTCTGCCGGCCCTGGCCTTTTTGGGAGTTCACAGCCTTGAACTCCAGGTCCCCAGGTCAGTTCCTCCTGGTATTAGCTTGCAGCTGGAAAGGGGCTCCAATGAGGCAGAAACCAGAAGCGCCTAGAAAGCCATGACCCCTGGCCCAAGGCAGTCCTCAGCTGCCCTACCCATATGGCCACTGGGCAGGGAAAGTGGCAGTTCCCAGGCTCCATCTCTCCTGACCCTGAGGAGCTCTGGCTCCCGTCTCCTGCTATGGTTGCAGGTGCCAGGTCACTGGGGTCTTATAAAGCAGAGCTGGAAGGAGGTGGGCCCCAGAGGGTCCATTCCTTAAGTGTTGGCTTCAAGATGGCCTGAGCCATGGTGCACAGAGGTTCTGAGAACTGCCAAGGGGCAATGTACTCTAAGAGTCAAGGTCACCAGCTGGTGACAAGGGCAAACCCATTTGATCACCTCTCCCACAGTGAATACCCTGGAGAGAAATACATTCTTGACTGTTCTCAGAACTCACATCCTTGAACTACAACAGCGGCCGTTTCTCTCCAGCTGTGGTTTTCTCCTCCCAGTAACCAAACTCCCCCCGACCTCTGAAAACAGCTGGAGGCTTGCTGCCTCCAGGAAGACCTCGTGGAGCAAGTTCACCCCTGGCTACTCTTTCCTTCCCTCCACGACCTTCTGGATGCCACTGACATGGCCTGAATGGCTGGCATGTGGCCGTGTGATCATTCTCTTCATTTATAGCCCAGATTGCCAAGTTCCTGGACTTCCTGAGGCCTCAGGTCGGGTAAGCTGTTAAATGTTTGTATCTGCACTGAGCCTGGTACCCACTCTCCACACTTGGCAGCAATTCCACCTCTTCTGTGGTCTCAGTGGTTCCAAAGAGCTGCTTAGAGCCTCCCAACAACTTAGGCAGGCTGTGTGATGCCCATCTTACAGAGGACACTGCAGGTGGTCTGCGAACCAGTCAGAACGTGAACCCAGGTCTAACAGAGACAAGGGAAACCTGACCACCAGAGAATGAGGAGATAAGGAAACAGTAACGCCAACATGAATAGCATAATAGCTACATGGAGAATTTTCATGGTGCTTTAATGTCCAGTGTATCATTTTGACCCTGTGAGATAACAGAAAAGATTTGGATGCATTTATTTGATAGGTGATGAAGCTGAGGCTTGGGTGGCTTTTCCAGGGTTACACAGCTAGCAGAAGGCCCAGCTGACCCCAGAGTGAGAAAGGACTCGATTATCCAGAAAAGGAAACTGATAGAGAGGCTGGGGTCTGCCCAAGCTCACACAGTTAGAGAGCAGAGGGCGACCTCGGGAATGTTCTGGACCTAAGGCTCCACCAGACTGCCTCCAAGCCTGGCTCAGAGGCAGGAACCCCCTCTTCTGGATGGTGTGGGGGGCCCACCCCCAGCAGTCCCTGCCACCTAGGTCCTTCAGGACATGTGACCACAACATCACCTGCTCTGCCATCATTGCCTTGGCAGGCGCCCCACTGTTGTGCAACCAGGCCCGGGGCTGGGCTGGCCCCATCAAATCAGCAGCTGATTGGCTTGAGCCGGCTGAGTCTGCCCCCCTGGAGCTCAGCCGTGACAGCAATGAATCACACTAATGGAGAGAAGTGGCCATTCCTTCTCTCTGTAGCCTGGAGACAGGTTTTTCCAAAGCTCCTCCCCTGGCTCAGGCAAACACACCTGACCTCTCTCTCTCGCTGGGCCCAGGGTGAGGCAGAGTAGCCAGGGACAAGGTGGGGTGAACCAGACAAAGCTGGAGCACTCTCCCACTCCTGCTTTGCCCAGCTACCCGGCCAAACCCATGATTGCAGGCAACGTAAGGCCCTCCTCCCAGAGGAAGGGGCCAACAGCCCAGTGACCTTGGGGTGTGCTTCCCCTGGCACTTCCCCCACATCGCTCCCTGCAGCTTGCACTCTGCCTCTGACTCTCTTCCAAAAACAATTTGGCAAGTTCTAATCTACATCTTGAAAAAAAATTTAAAAACACCAGAGAGGTAGGCGGGCCACAGCACCTGGGGACTCAGAAGGCAGATTGACCTATTCTTACCCCATGGGGGGAAGTAACGAAAAGTACCTCCATGCAAACAGACATGAAGATCTTTGGAATGGAGTGGGGAGCAGGGGGAGTCATTGGGAAGCAAAACGTGCAGGACACCTGAGGTCACTGCGAACCAGGGGACTCGGGATTACCTTCTGGGAAATGACATAGCATGTCAGTTTTTCTATTCAGTCAAGCTACGTTTGCCTCATTCAACCAAATCACAGCTGCAAACCAATGCCACCTGCCTGGAGGCTGAGCAGACACTCTGGTCCTCCTTATGGAGATTCATAGCCCTAAGAGCTCTGGTGCAGTTGATCTGCGTGAAGTCCTCAGCCAAGCACATATTAAGCGCTCCATAAATGTCAGCTGCTTTTGTTTTTTAATGATTACGATTTTGACCGTCATTTCTTCGATTGTTCTTTATGTGTCTTGTTTCCAGACCATTCGACTCCCACAGGAGACTCCCTGGAGCACAGTCCAGCTAATTTATCTCCTGAAGGGACCAGCCATGCTCCAGGTGCGGTCTTGGGAGCCATCCGATCACTGTCCCTTCATCTGAGCATCTGCCTTCTGAAGGAGGTGACGCCATGTGCTGTCAAGCGCTGTGGACAGACAGCCCGGGGTCAAGTCCTAGCTCCTTCCCCGCTCCCACCCAAGCTGTGTAACCTGGACCAGCCACGAATGCATCAGAAAGAATCCATAAAATGGGAATCTCTGACTGATCTCAGAATACAGCTGGATTACTAGGAGGAAAACTAAGCAGGTACTTAGAGGCTGGCAAAGTAAGGATACCCATTTGTAGATGTGCTAGACATGCTGACCATCATTCCTAACTCTTAACAGAATTATGATGAGCAAAGTGAGAACCTCCCCACTGGACTTCCTTATTCCTATGCTGAAGTTTAATGTTCTGTTTTTAACGATGTATGTATGTGAGGGGCGGTACACACAATGCTTTGCATGCCTGGGGCCTCTAAGGGTCTCAGTCTAGCCTTGCTCTGAAATTGCAGCAAGACCTGCTGATTCCCTAATGCATCACGAGTGTTCCCGAACAATGAGCTCATTTACCAGGGCTAGCTGTGACCAGATGTTTTAATCACCATGATCACTGGGTTGACAGCTTGAGCTTGATCTCCAGCCTGAGTCTTTTTTTTTTTTTTTTTTTGAGATGGCATCTTGCTTTGTCACCAGGCTGGAGTGCAATGGCGCGATCTCAGCTCACTGCAACCTCTGCCTCCTGGGTTCAAGCAATTCTCCTGCCTCAGCCTCCCGAGTAGCTGGGACTACAGGTGTGCACCACCACACCCAGGTAATTTTTGTATTTTTAGTAGAGATAGGATTTCACCATGTTGGCCAGGATGGTCTCAATCTCTTGACCTTATGATCTGTCCTCCTCAGCCTCCCAAAGTGCTGGGATTACAGGCATGAGTCACTGCGCCTGGCCAAAGCCTGAATCTCTCCAGTGGCCTAGGGGACTGAAGGCAGAAGCAAGAGCACACATAGAGAAGGTACCCAGCAAGTGGATCCGTGCAGTTCTTCGGTTCGAAACAACTTGTGGAATCCAGGCGGACTCAGGGCCTGCATGGCCACTGGGCAGGGAAGGTGGTGGTTCCCAGGCCCCATCTGAACCCCAGGGAGCACTGGCTTCTGTCTCCTGCTATAGCTTCAGGTGCCAGGTCACTGGGGTCTTAGAAGGTGACGCTGAAAGGAGATGGGCCCAGAGGGTCCCGCTCCTTAAGGGCTGCTTCAAGATGGAAGACGTGAAGGTGTTCCAGGGGTTGATTCTTTTTTTGAGACCCTAAGATGTTCCAGGCTTCTGTAGAGCAGACACACTCCTTGACCTCCAGGAGTTACATAAATAAAAACACATAACACCAGAGGCAGAAGCTGCACACAGGCAACCTCCATGTAGAAGCTGCCCACATCTGTGTTTGTTTGGCCAACGGTGCTTTTCAGAAAGCTGAATCAGAATGTTTTTGGGAGGATGCTGTAGGTGACTGCAGGCCCCACGCCCCATCGTCACTACAGCGGATTCACATATTGGCATTACCTGCCTGGGCGCCACAGTCTGGATGCCAAGTATGAAGTGTGAATATAAACGCAGCAAACAAGTGTGAATGGAGCACAAGAAAGAAGGGATTCGGCGGGGTGCGGTGGCTCACACCTGTAATCCCAACACTATGGGAGGCCGAGGTGGGTGAACCACTTGAGGCCAGGAGTTTAAGACCGCCCTGGCCAACATGATGAAACCCCGTTTCTACTAAAAATGAAATTAGCCGGGCATGGTAGAGGGCACCTGTAATCCCAGCTGCTTGGGAGGTTGAGGCAGGAGAATCGCTTGAACCCAGAAGGTAGAGGTTGCAGTGAGCCAAGATCACGCCACTGCACTCCAGCTTGAACGACAAGAGCAAAACTCCATCTTAAAAAAAAAAAAAAAAAAAAAGGAAGGGACTCAATTCTACCTAACACCTAAGAAGGCTCCACAGAGGAGCAGGTATTTCGTAACCCACGTCACCCACCCTGTCACTCCCTTGATCCCATCCTTCTTTTTAGAGACAAGGTCTCATTCTGTTGCCCAGGCTGGAGTGCAGCGGTACAATCATGGTTCACTGTAGCCTGGAACTCCAGGGCTCAAGCAATCCTCCTGCCTCAGCCTGCTGAGTAGCTGCGACCACAGGTGCTCGCCACCATGCCAAGATTTCACCATGTTGCCTAGCTGGTCTTGAACTCCTGGCCTCAAGCAATTCTCCTGCTTCGGCCTCCCAGTGCTGGAATTATAGGTAGGAGACACCACCCGGGGCTCTCTTTTCAAGTCCTTAGGTAGTGGCCCCAGAACTGACCAAAGAGGAATGTTAGGACGGTTTATTCCAGGCCAGTGCACACTTGGAGAAGCCATTGTGACTCCCTGTTGTGCTCCAAGACGGTGTGCAATGAACAGATCCTCTGCGGGATGGGGCCTGAGCCCAGTGCTCAGGTGGGAGAGAAGGAGGGAGGAAGAGAAATGGTGGGGAGGTGGGGGAGGAAGGGTTGAGCAGGAGGGGAGGAGGGTAAAGGAGGAAAAGGAAAGGGAGGGAAGATAAGTGGGGAGGAGGTGACAGTGACAGCAACTGAAGTGGTCCTATGTCTACATGGCTGGCTCTCCAGTCCTTCCTTTCTCCCTCTGACCATGGATGGACTCCCTCTGGCCCTGTGGGTTCCACAAGAACTACCAACACTCAAGCTCTTTCACAGAAAGGAAAGGAAAGCACCTCTGAGCCACTAGGAAACAAAGGATGTTTTATTCCTTTTTCCTGTCATTGTTGAGAGGATAGATCACGACACAGAAAACAGCAATGGATCACAGCGCACGGTTTGGCTGGTTTCCACGGGAACACAGAGGACAGGAGGGGTGGGATCTGGGTTGAGTTCCCACTCTCGTTATGACCTTCAACCTCTCACCATTCCCAGGGGCTGCACAGAGCCTGCCGAGTCTCTAACCCACCTCGCTCACCGCTCTGACCACCAACAGGCAGAGCGAAGGAGGCAGGAGTTCCTCTGCTGCCCATCCAAGGAGACGTGAGCAGAGAAGCAAAGGCTTCTTCTGTCCCTCCACCCATCCCAGTGTGCTGGCCCCAACGGAATGGAAATCCCTCAGCTACTGCCTGACAGAGACCCAATTGCAGGGACTGGAGTCTGCATCTGGATGAGCTGGGCTGTAGATTGAAATCTCAGAAGCAGGGAAGGTTGGGAGGGGTAGAGTCTCAGAGGCCATGGGGTTATTGCTGAGAAGATATGCAGGGGACATATTCCCCAGGGGCAGAGTAGAAGCCCTGGGTCTGGAATCCCGGGTATTCTGTGAAGGGGCAGATGGGGACTATTCGTGGAAGCCCCCAGGAAGAAATTAACCATGGAAGGGCAGAGCTTGCCTGAAGTCAACGCTGGGCTCACCAGCAACTTGCTTTGTATCTTCAATTGCTAAAAGACCTTCAGACCGGGGTCAGGGTGCGATAAGGAAGTGAGGTTCTTGCTGAAGGCATGAAGGAAGTCCATGAAGAATGATGACAAGGTGCTGCAAACCTTCCCAGGTCCCAGGATGACTGAAGACTCCTGCCCGTGCTCTTACCCTATGCATCCCTCCATCAGGAGAGGGGGCTGGTCTCGGGGAACAAGCAGCCTCCTAGGAGCAGGAGGTGATGGAGGGCCACGGGGGCAGGGAGGAGCAGATGGCCATGTGGCTCAGCCCCTGCCTGGGAAAGCGAGTCCACAGTTCACTAACAAACACAATACCATCCACGAACGAGTAGCCACGAAGACCACAGTCAGCAAACACACACACTCACACACAGACACATCACAGGAGGTGGGCGGGGCCGCAGGCTGCGTGGGGAGGCCAGTGTTAGTTGCATTATCAGGTAGAGGAATGGCGTTAGAGGGGAGAGGAAGGCAGGGACACAGAAGTTCTTGGCTTCTCCTGGGGAAAGAGCTGTTGCTGAAGTGACCGGCTTTCTTAAGCGTCATTTGCATCCAAAGGTTCAAGCAGTGGCCTTCAGGTTCTGGAGGCTGAGGAGGAGGAGAACTTCAATTAAAAACACTTTAGCTCTCCTCTGGTACCCTTATCTGCCTCTCTCCCTGCCTTGAGCACTTGCCCACTGAACTGCCTGGAAGGACAGCCCTTCTGAGCCCCACATTCCCAGTGAAGTGAGAGAGGTAGAGAAAGGAGAGGAAAGCAAGGGGTGGGGGCGGATCAGAGGAAGGCTCTCCCAGCAGGGCTGGAGCCTGACAGACACAGAAAGGGAGTTGTTAAACTCAGGACCTCCCCAATGGCTGCTCACAGTCCTGAGCCTTAGGATAAAAGGCTTCTGAGAAAGAACGAGTTTGAAAAAAAATGAGAAGACATTTCATGTCCAGGCTGCCTCCTCTGAGCCTTCCCATAGACTCCCAGTCTGTGGCGAAATAGAACACCAAGCTACCAGGAAGGGCATCTGCCTCCTACATTGGGATCTTCCTCCATTCACACTTGGGTGATCACTTGCCTTTGAGAGCCCCATCCAGAAGACGGGTGTAATGAGCCCTGCTCTGCCCATCACGGGCTGCCAGGAGGATGCAAAAGCACTTAGGAAAAAATTTAAATGCTATACAGGCATGCAGTATTGTTACAACCACAGTAGAAGCTGGTGTGTCGGGCACCATCATCCAGAAATCTCTTTTAACTTACAATCTAAGATACACTAATATACCTTTCTGTGATGCCTTATTCATATGGGGAAACAAAAAAAGCAGAACTGAACTGACAAAAGACAAACCTTTTCCCTTAGGATATTCCAGGGCATGTCATAAAGTAAGATACACAGGAGGGAGGGAGGAGCAGTGGGGTTGACCCACAGCCACAGAGGCCTGAGTTCAGTCCAGGCTGTCACTCTCCACAGGACTAGCCCCCCTCACCTTGGTTTCATCTATAAATGGGCTAAAGCCCCACCTGTCCCATCCACTTTTTCTGGCAGACTTGAGTGAGTCTGTGTGTGTGGCTGCACTCTAAAAACTGTACAGCATTTGTCAGTTACTACTCTCCTGTGTCCCTACGATGAACAATGGAAAGAGACACTAAAATCAGTGTCCCTAAATGTAGAGGGAGGGATCATATACTATTTGCTCTATTTTTGGGTAGGGTTGGAAAGTTTCATAATAAGGTGTTTAAAACAGAAGTGGCCCTAAAGTACTTTCTAAATCACCACGGAAAGCCATTATCTTTATGCTACTTAGAGATTAGGAGCATTTCACTAACTAATTCTCTGCATGTGGCAGCTGGGATGGCGCCCTGTGAACTGGACCACTGGGCTGTGTGGAAGCCCCATGCGCATGTGTGGGGCATCTCGGGTGTTTCTGGTCCTGATCTCTGTCATTGCCTCTTTCGGATTCCTGAAGGCTCCTCACGGCAGGGCCCATAATAAAGGCTGTGTCCACTGCAAAAGCTATCCCCATCCTTCCTGCCTGAAAACCCTGCCCAGGCTCCGATGCATGCGGTGATGGCATCAGGGGCACAGTGAGCAGCTCACCTTCCACCTGAGGCCGGCACTTCAGTTCTCTGCTTTCTGGGGCTCTGTTGCTGGAAAGAAAACCAGAATGGATTACAGTGCATAGACTCCTCACCCCAATGGGCCACCCCCAACAGCAGCTGTGTCTATGCCTGACTCTGGGAGAGCAAAGAGGTGACATGCAGAGGATTTGAGTCAGAATGATCTGGGTTCAATCCTGGCCCTGCTACTTGCTGCTTACAGGAACCTGGTAACCTCTCTGAGACCCTCAGTTATAAAATGCGGACAGTGATGCCTACCCATGGGGCTGTGTGCCCATTCAATGATATGGGGTCTGTGCCTGGCACAAGCAGGTACTCTGTAAATGCCAGGTGCCACTAGTAGTAGCTATCTTGTTTGGTGGCAATGCCACAGAGGCCCTGGAGACTCCCCTCCTGGCACTGCTGGAGCACGTCTGGCTGGCTATAGCAGGCCATGCACCTGGCAACAGTCCCTTCCTGAGCCACAGAGGGTTCTCTCTGTTCCCTCTTTTCCATCTGGGCAGGTGGTCGCAGACAGTTACCGTTTGCGGTGATGAGGTTCTCCACCTGGGCTTCCTCATCTCCTGGGGCCCTGCGGGAGAAAGAGAGGCACAGCCCCGTCAGAGATCTCCAGGGCAGACCCAGAGAGCAGTGCTCTGCTCCTTGCTGGGGCATAGCCTCTTGGGGCCAGGCTCCTCCCAGTGCTCTGAGGGCTGGAGCTCCCTCTTCTGTGGGGTGCATGGGGCAGAGGGAGAGGTCTGGACTGAAGGGTCAGACTCAGAGTGAACTTACAGGCACCCTTCAATGCCAGCCCTCGACTTCTACCGAGTCCTGGGAAGCGGGGAGCTAGGGCCACTTGGGAGCTTGGGTGTGTCCTGCCACAGGTTTTGGACTGCTCGAGTCCAAGTTACCCTTGGCTATTGTAGTAAATGAATGGGGCATGGCCTCTACGTGGGAGCAGAAAGAAGGTCCATGTGTCTGTTCAGCTCAAAGAGCCTCATGAACAGGTGACAAGCGGGGGCCGTGTTGCAGGCCCTGTCGAGAGGACCTGGCCATCAAGAGAGGCCGGGAAGCCCTGTTTCCTTTCTCCCAGGCGCAACTGTCCCAAGGGCCTCCAGAAAAGCTTCCAGAACTTTCTCGTGCACTTCCCGTCCCCTGCGTATATCAGAAGAGACAGGATGGGCTGACCCGCAATGTTCTGACCTCTCCTTTGCCCCAGAGTCTACGTGGCAGTCCTCAAGCTTCCACCCCTACTCCCCAACACATGTTCTGCCTCTGAGAGAAGAATCCAGGAGAATGCCCATTTAGGGGTCACACACCAGGGGTCCCTCCAGTCCCACCTAATATCACCCCCAATGTCCCCTGCCACGGCATCCTTACCGGGGCTTCTGATTGAAACTGCACTTGCACCTGCGACCTGAAAAGCAAAGAAACCATCCAAGGTCATGCTTCTGGCTGGGCCACAGCAGGTCGTGGGACTGACAATGGCACCGCCTAGACCCGGGCAGTGCACAGCTTGCATGGCTGCATGCAGTGGCCCTCGGATGGGGTAGCTTCTTCTGGGGCAAAGGAAATACATCCCACAGCTGGAATGGTTACACCTACACCCCCCAGCCCTCTTCATGATGTGAGTAAAGGGAGATCTGTGCAGATCAGGCTTACGTGGAAAAAATGCACTTGGGGGGCACATCCCTCACACACTAGGGCAGCAGCTGTCTCCTTCTTCCATGACTGCCCCATTCATGCCCTACACCCAGCACTGGGAAGCTGCCCTGCCCATCCCTATCGATGCTCATTGTCACACCACATTTTCTCTGTTCCTGCATCACTGTTTTACTGAGCACTTACTACATGCCCAGCACTCTATTGGGTCATGAAGATGACATGGAGGACAGGCACTCTCCTTTCCTCTCCAAGAAAGAGACCAACCAGGCTCTCACACTGTCCCCACCTGCTCAGCAGCCTCAGTCATTGCTCTTACAGAGTGAGCAAAAGAACAAACTTACTTAGGATAAGGAGGATCCCAACCGAGAAGAGGACCACAGCGAACACCAGTCCCCCAATCCTCAGGGTCTGGTAGTCTGCCAAAGGAACCAAGGGTGAGAGAGGAAGAGGCCAGGGAGAGGGTGTCTGTTCCCTCCATCCCCCCTGCCAGGCAGGGCTGCACTCCCCCTGACCTCCGCACCCCGGGTCACCGTCACTCACCATAATGAAAAGGGTCTATTTCCTTCTCCTTCTCAGCTGCTGCAAAAACAAACAGGTGGTCAAGAGAAAGAAAGCTTCACAACCGGGTTCCCAAATGCCCAACCCTGACTCACAGACCTCAGTCCCCGCGAGGGGATTCCGGAGGAGCAGCACCCATTAAGCAGAGATGCCCAGACGTGCGCAGTAGGGCAGACCTGCCAGTTAGGGGGTTAGGGACACCCTGAGAGCAGACGGCAGGGAAGGCATTGAGGCTCTGAATCATGCAACATCCACGTTCATTGCCCCTTTTCATTCTTACATCATCCCCAGAAGGCAGGGCCAGTTTTCCTCTTGTGACATACAGAGAAACCGAGACCAAGGAAGGACGTGTGACTTGCATGAGGTCAGCGCTGGCTAATCACGGTCTAGAGGCTGATGTGGAGGTCTGGCTCCCAGGGTTCAGGCCACAGGTCCACAGAGGCCCGGTGAGCTTGTGGGGCTTAAAAACCACGCCCTGCTGGACCCTTGCAGGGAGAGGGGGCAGGCTGCGTTGAGGTCTGTGAATAAATGGCTGCTGCCTCCACGACTTTCTCTGCTGACTGAAGGGAGGGGCCCCTGACCAGACATGAAGAACCTTAGAGTCCCCCAGCCCTAAAGTCCCAAGGGGCCCAGAACCTTCCAGCAGAGAGGGCTTGACAGCATTGTCATCTTGTCACAGCCAGGTCCCAGGGGGGTACTTACCACTGGCCAGGACCGTGGGGGCCAGCAGGCTGCAGAGGAAGACCAGCACCAACTCCATGGCGTCTGGGGACAGAGGGAGGAAAATGATTCTCTGGCTAAGAAGCCTCCATCCATCAGCTCCAAGCATCAGCCTGACCAGGGGCCAAGTCAAATCCCCATCTGGGTGAGGGTTCAGATAACATAAGCACAAGCAGTTGACTTTTTTTTTTTTTTTTGAGACAGAGGAGTCTCACTACGTTGCCCAGGCTGGAATGCAGTCACACGATCTCGGCTCACTGCAACCTCTACCTCCCGGGTTCAAGCAATTCTCCAGCCTCAGCCTACTGAGTAGTTGGCATTAGAGGTGTGTGCCACCACACCCGGCTAATTTTTTATATTTTTTTAGTAGAAATGGGATTTCATCATGTTGGCCAGGCTGTTCTCGAACTCCCGACCTCAAGCGGTCCACTCACCTTGGCCTCCCAAAGTGCTGGGATTACAAGTGTGAGCCACGGTGCCCAGCCAGAAGTGTCTCTTAATATCAGATTAAATGGGGCCAGTAAACCAATGTCCCTCTCTTCTAGCCAGCTTGGTGGGGAGGAGGCTTGTGGTTTCCTGCGCCCTGATGCACTGACAGCCCTCCTTCAGGTACCCCTCACATCCCACCTCAAAAGTCCCTAAGTCAACTCTTCCCACAGGCTTTGCTTCAGAATCCTCCAGAAAGGTGGTTTGATTCAACAAAAGGAGTTTGAAGGTTGGTTCCCTGAGCCTCAGCACCCCGGCCTCTGCTTCCTCAGAGGATGCAGAGGTCTCAGCTCAGGAGCTCATCAGTCCTGGTTTCTGGCTGGATGGCCCCAGGTGAGCTATCCTCGTGGAGGGAGGAGGCAGGGGCTGGAGGTCGCACCCAGGAATAGATTTCAATTGCTAGACACGCACCTCACTCCTGGGCTTAAAGGAGCACAGTCAAGAGCCAGAGAGGAGACAGCAAAGGAACCTGAACCAGGAAAGCCCAAGGCTGGGTGCTGTTTTCCATGTGGGTTGAAAGCGGCAGTGGCCTGAATCCCTGGACATCCGCCTAGTCCAGGACCTTGATTGCCCTCAGCACCGTCATTACTGTCCCCTAGCCTTGAGCAAGCAACCACCACTGCACTTCACCTCTCGGCCACCAAGGGTCAGAATGACTGCATCTACAGCACGTTAAGGCCCAAACCTTGATTCAGAAAGCCTTTATCAGAAGGCAGGCAATTTGCTTTTAAAACTTTCTCATTTCACACTTGTATTTCCTTTGAATGCTACACAGTATTTTATATGTATAAAAATATATGTAACATACACATTTAATGAGGCATAGTAATAATATAAACATCCATAAACCAGCAGCTTAGGAACGGGAGCTTTACAGAGACTGTGGCACTGACCTCTGTTTTCCTCCACCTCATCCCCCTGCCTCTCTCCCAGAGGTAGGCAGTACCCCGAAAATATATTTTTTAATTTCTTTATTTATTTGGAGACTGAGTCTCACTCTGTCACCCAGGCAAGAATACAATGGTGCAATCTCAGCTCACTGCAACTTCTGCCTCCCAGGTTCAAATGATTCTCCTGCCTCTGCCTCCCAAGTAGTTGGGATTGCAGGCACACACTACCACACCCAGCTAATTTTGTGTATTTTTAGTAGAGGCAGGGTTTCACCATGTTGGCCAGCCTTGAACCTCAGGTGTGGACCTCAGGTGATCCACTCACCTCGGCCCCCCAAAGTGCTGGGATTACAGGCATGAGCCACTGTGCCTCGCCGAAAATATGTATTTTTAATCATTCCCTTGCACCTCTTTCAAAAAGTTGCCAATCAACAGATAACAAAATTTCAGTTAGCGCAAAATGAGTAAGTGCTAGAGATCTGCTATATAACATTGTACGGCATAATTAACAATACTGAATTGCACACTTCAGGATACCTTAAGAGGTATCTCGAAGTGGTCAGTGTTCTTTAAAGAAATACAATGAACGCACCAGAAAGTTTGCCATTTTAAAGTGTACAACTCAATGGTTTTTAGAACATTCACAAGGCTGTGCATCTGTCACCACTCTCAGACATTTCCCCATCCCAAAAAGAAACTAGTATCCATTGGCAGTCACTCCCCACTCCTCTTCCCTTTGACCCTGAAAACATTCATCTACTTTTTGTCTCAGGAGGTTTGCCCATTCTGGACATTTCACATAAATGAAATAATTAAATACATGAACTTCTGTGTCTGACTTTCAAATCAGCATAATGTCTTCAGGGCTCACGTATTCGTACTTTATTTCTTTTTATGGCTGAATAATATTCCACCATATGGATATTCACCTTGCTCTTTGTTTAAAAGATATATTTAACACATACATATATCTAAATATTATGTTATTTAGCGTAGCAGCTTTTTTGAACTTTATGATATGTTTATAGTTTTTGGAAACTTGCTTTTTCTGTTCAACATTATGCTTCTGTGGTTCACTGACATTATTACATTTAGCTATAGTGCATTCATTTTCAGTGCTGTGTAATATTCCATTATGCAGGAAAATGATCTTGTATTGTTCTAGTCTCCTGCCAATAAACGTCTGGTTTCTTCCCCCTCAATTTTATGATAATACAAACAATGGAGTTGTGGACATCTTTGAGTATACTGCTCAGGGCACACATGCAAGAATTCTAAGGGCACAGTTTTTTTACTCTTTGCTTACCACTCTCATAAAAAATATATTTTACATTGCAACGCAGCACTAACACATATTCATGTACACCAGAAACAACTATTACAAAATAACACTTACTACAAATGAGATACTTCATTTTCTATTCGGTTTGTTTCTTTACAAAAAACATGTCCAGACTACTTAATGGGTCACACTCAGCAGTTTGAATAGTTATGTTCCAGACTTAAGCCTAGGACTGATGTCATTCACTGGGTCGTAGAGTATGCAAACTGTACACTTCACAGTGTGATTTAAAATTGTTTTCTACAGTGGTCATCTCTGTGATGATATCCCACCAGCTGCATATGACTGTCCCCATTACTCTACAACCTGTTGTAGATATTTTCTGTTGTCAGATATTTTCGTTTTTGCCAATCTAGAGGTAAAAGATGGTTTTAATGTGATTACGCTGTAATGGAGCTGGGCATTTTTCTCCATGTATATTTGCCATTCCTGTTTCTTTGTCAATGGCATGTTTTTCATGTAATTTACCCATTTTTCAAATGAGTTGTCATTAGTATTGTTATTTCTTATTCTGTTATCTCTTATTCTTTGTCATTAAGTATGGCAAATATCTCCGTCCAGTTCATGGCTTATTTTTTCACTTTTAAAAATTGTCAGCCGGGCGCAGTGGCTCACGCCTGTAATCCCAGCACTTTGGGAGGCCAAGGTGGGTGGATCACAAGGTCAGGAGTTCAAGACCAGCCTGACCAATATGGTGAAACCCCGTCTCTGCTAAAAATACAAAAATTAGCCAGGCATGGTGGCATGTACCTCTAGTCCCAGCTACTAGGAAGGTTGAAGCAAGAGAATCACTTGAACCCACGGGGTGGAGGTTGCAATGAGCCAAGATCGTGCCACTGCACTCCAGCCTGGGTGACAGAACAAGACTCCGTCTCAAAATAAATAAATAAATAAATAAATAAATAAATAAATAAAAATTGTCTTCTGATGAACAGAATTTCTTAATTCTAACATAATTGAATGCCATGATTTTTGTGTCTTGAGACATCCTCTCTCACCTTGAGATCAGAGTTTTCTTCTAAAAACCTTAAAGCTTTGTCTGTTATATTTAAATCTTTCTGACATCCAAAACTGATGTTTGTGTATGGTGTGAGGTAGGAGTCTAGTTTTACTTTTTCCCATACTGATAACCGCTACTGTAACCTGGTACCAGTGGTGGACGGCCTCCCACTTTCCTTATGATATACCATGCCACCTTCATCACATAATCTGGTTTCTATTTGGTGTGCATTTGTTCCTGGGCTTTCTCTTTGGATCTATTGGTCAATTTGTCTGAACTGCATTAAAACCACTGTCTTTCAATTATGATAGCTTTGTAGCAATTTTGTTGCGTGGTAAGGAATCACTTCCATCTTTTTTTCTCCTCTTCCCTCTCCTTCCCTCAGGAATGTCTTTATTATTCTTGGTTGTTTTTGCCCTCAAATTTCAGAATCAGCTTTTCAAATGCATCTAAGGCCGTTGGGATTTTCATGGGAACTGCAATGGTCCTATGAATAGAACAACCTGGAGAGAAATGACATATTTCTGATCTTGAGTCTCCTCTCCATAAATATATCTTTTGTTTAGGTCCTTTTCAATAAAGTTCCATAAATGCTTTCATATAGGTCTTGAACACTTTCTGTTAGATTTATTCCTAAGTGCCTTATAATTTCTAATTGCTGCTTTAAATGTCATCTTCTAATTTTTGCTGGTAGAGAGAAAAGCAATGGATTTTTACATATTGATCCTAAATCCAATAATCTTGTTAAACTCTCAAATTATTTGTAATGATTTATATAGAGATGCCTTTGGGTTTTCTCGGTAGATATATCATCTTTAAATGATGTTGTTCCTTCTTCCTAATTCTCACACTGTTTATTTCTATTTCTTGTCTTAGTGTACCAGGTAGGAATTCCAGTGAATTGTAGAATAAAAACAATAGCAAACACACAGACACACAACACATACACACTCACAGTCTTATTACTGATTTTAAATGGAGTTTTTCTAATGCTTTGAAAGTTCCTCTCTAATCCTGGTTTCCAAGATGTTTCTGTTTTATGTTAATTGTGAATGAGTGTTCTATTTCTCTGGTTTTTGTCCTTAAATCTACCAATGAAGTGAATTATATGTATAGATTATCAAGTGTTAAATCATCCCTGCATTTCTAGGATGAAACCAAGGTAATTTTTAAAAATAAACAGATGGGTTTGCCTTACTGAGATTGTGTTTAGGATTTTTGCATCTATGTGCATGAGTAAGATTGGTCTGGAGTTTTTATTTCATTGTGTTAACCTTGCCTAGTTGGGGATGGTGGTACTGGCCTCACAGAACAAGTATCTGCTCTC